ACAACTCGATTGCTCCACACACATACATGTACACACGCATCTATACATTCCGCACTCCCTCTCTCTCTAAAGTTTGTCTTCCGGTGACGGAGTTTGGCGTATACATCGATCCGTCATCGTTGAGGACGACAGAGTTTCATCTTTGCGGTTCCGGAGTGATCGTTAAACGAATCGGACGACGAGGGGGAAGAAGATCTTCCCACGTTGTTGCTCGATGGAAACACAGTATTTGCTTTGCTGGCTCGTTAGCGAAGAACGGCGGGAAATCCTCGGCTTTATTTTAATTGAGTTTCCTTTGTTTATACCAGTGACGAATTTCGAACCTCACAAGCGCATCACGATGTGCGATTAATGAAATTTTCCTTTATGAAGATATTTTCCATTTTATTTTTAAAACATGAACGATTTATCTTTTCGATATGATAATCATAATAATTAAACACATACGATAACGTATTCAAGACAATGATGGAGAAACGGATAAGCGGACGCGCAATAATACGAGTCGTTTCACGAGGTATGTAAAACATGGGCAACGATATTGATTGATTCGCGCGCTACAAAGGTACATTACGAAGCCGCGTATTATCTAGAAAAGAAAAACACAATAACCGTATAATAACGGCATTATCGCTCTCGTTTATCGTAGGAAACGTCGTTATTATCTCGTCCACGGTGTAATATTGTTTATCGCCTATAAATCTTACTAGAGAAACACTTTCAAGTTCTCCCTCGGAAAATAATAACGCGCGTCTGTGAAATAAAATTTTTTGCGATTGCTCGTATTTGCGGAACAAACGTGCATAATGAAGTCTCGTCAAATGGTGAATTTTATTTGGATCGCACGTTCAATTCGGATTCACGAGAAAGGAAATCATTTTGGCACGATGCCCCGGTCTTGCCAATTTGGCGACGCGGCGGTTTATGAAATATGGTAATAGGAAAATAAAGTCAAACCGCGCGTAAAACTTCGTGATTTAATGGCGTATTTATTACATAGTTGAGAATGAGAAAATACACAGCTCACCAGTTGCGTTATTTCATGCGCTTCGGTAAGAACTGAAACGCGTAATTTCGGTAAATCCAATTCTCGACATTCTCTTTCTCTCTCCTTCGATTATTCTACTTTGATTATTCATTCATAATTTGTATATTTTCTCGAAAAAGAAAAAGATTAAATTGTCTATCAATTTTAAACACTACGCAAATATGAGTAAAACGTCACTTCCCAATATTATTACGCTTTCTTCCTCTTCTTAATATAAATAATGTGTCACGCATCTCATCGAAACGAGCGCGGTTACGTCGTAAACGCGTCGTATTATAATTCCTCCACGATTCCGCTCAAGCAATTGGCTTAAATTTAATTGCGATTATCATCATTTAACGTCACTCGATTAATATCCGCCGACAGTGAATCGTCTTCGCGATTTCCTCATACGGGGTATGGCCGTAGGAAGGATTCCCGTGGTTATTGCGTATTTAATAACATTCAAAACATTGTGAGTCATCGGGAGAATACGGCGGATGCAGATGATCGCAGGATATGTTGAAATGTAACACACGCGTTCGCGTTCGTATACTACCTTTCTCCCTTTCGATGGAAGCCTAAAATTCCATCGCGTGTAGAAGAGGCGCCTTCTTTTTTCACTAGTTGCTGCGCGTGATCTCGGTCACGTAGTACGCGACGCGACCGATACTTGGCTCAAGAAATTGCTCGCCAGTGAACGTATCGTCTACTACTGCGTTCAGCAGTGGCGGATTATCGCACGTACATGAGAGTTGTTTGACGAACGCATCTCGGGATAAGGAGGTTATCTTGAGACTCCTGACTGACGTAATATTAAATTATGACACGAGAAGATGAAAGAAACGCAATATTTATGAATTATGGAATTTTTTGAGAAAATACTTGACTAGCAAAAAAAGATGTGCACGATTAAAAATTATCAAGAAATTATATCTTATTGTTGCTCTCTTTTATAACATCAATATGATAGATATAAAATATTGTCGTCAATCCGTCTTTTATCATCGCCACAGCATACGAATAAAACTGTGTGAAGCTGGAAAAATTTTAACAGAGAACGCCTGCGAAAACATTGCTCCGTTGCTTACATTGTACGCATTTGTTTGCAGTTGCCTACTTTTAGGCGCGATTATCCAGTTGTGACAATCGAAATAATAGCGAATTCGGTCATTTGCACTGCGTCGCACTGGTGCATATTAAGTTATCTAATAAAAAAGAATAATATAAACATTTTAAGTAATTAAAATCCAATCATGATAAATTGTCATTTTATTTAACAGAACATACATTATTTTTTCATTATCAAAATCATTATATATTATATCATTGCATTCATATACTTTATAAATAGCAGCCTTTAATGTGCACTGGTGTGATGTAGTGCAAGTCGCCGAATTCGCTATAAGATAAATGAAAATGTTTGAAATACACCGATCGAGATTGCATTATCGAGATTTATTGCGTAATTTTCTGGAATGGATATTTGCATTATTTAATCTTTTTATTATCATTCGATTTATATTGCTACATACAGTTTTAACAAATTATGCCATTTCATCAATAAAAGGAGATTTTATAGAGAAATATTGACAAAGTAAACAGCACTCTGAAGAAATATCGCAAATTTCCGGCTTTTCATGCTTAAAAGGATTGAGAGTTCGAATTTACAGCGAGTGTCAGCGAGTAAATATTTCCGAACGCGATTGCGCCTTAATCGTTGTGTTTTCGTCGGAAGTCTGGTCGATTGGAAGGCTTGGCCTTCGTGGTTTTATTATTTATATCTCCGATGGTCGAGAATTCGCAACAGCGGTTTATTAATTGTCGGTTTCTCGACTCCTACACTGATTTTCACGAGCGAATTACGCGGTACCTCATCGCGCGCGTACGTGATACAATCTCGCCATACATCTTGGCGTCGGCTTTCAATTCCTGCGAAAAATCGCGAACATTACCCGCGTGCGACGTCGCGAAGTATTACGCAAATATTTGTTTTTTGGCAAAGTAATGCGGCGAGCGTGAAAGCGGCGAGCGTGTAAACAAGAATCATCGAGAAATTGTGCCAAAGCTATTTATACCTGTCCACCTATATTTGTCCGGATCGGCGAAAACGTCGCACCGTTAGGTCGCCTAATTAAATATCGTTCGATAATCCATTTTATTCCCACTCTCGAAATGCTGCGCGATAAATTAATTTCCCTGGCCTCCAGATTGTTTTGACGACTAATTATTGGCACATCGTGCGACCAAATGCAGTAACGTGCATTAACGTAATTTACATCATGTCGAATTGCATCAATAAAATATACCTTTTTGTACACAAGTCACAGAAGTTCATGCAACTTTTATGCAGCGATTAAAATGAAATCTACATCCAAAAGTACAACATTATATTGTACGTTATTATTTTTGGTTTGCCTCCGTATTTAAATATACATCATGTAAAATTCCGATATTTGTATTTTCCAAAACATGAAACATTTCCTCAATTTTATTTGATGTGCACATGTGCATCTTCTTAACGCGTTTATGTTTTGCTACCGAGTTGTTACTGAGAAGCTAAATATTGCACTAGCGCTAAGTGCTGAGATGACCGCAATTTTGAAAGCTTCTTAATTTTTTGCACAAATTTGCTATTTGAAAGGATACAAATTTTCACCATTTAATTTGTCATCAGTAAATAAGTTGATTCTTTGCCTGGTGTAGAAAGAGAAAATATATTTCATTTTACATCTTTTTGTTCGCAATGTAATTATATTGACGAAAGACAGAAAAATCTGTCAGTTGCATATTTCAAATTACACAGTTATATCTGAAGCTTTTTTTTTATCGAACATTGATAAAATCATGCATTTCTTATTTATTTCTTTTTATTTAATGTCTTTAGAAATAATTACCTTAAGTCAATTCCAAAAAAGAAAAAGAAAATTCCTTTTTATTAATTAAAACTCGGTCCGAATTTAGCATGAATGGAAAATTTGCATCAATTATAGATTTTTGTAAGTTACATTTTATTGCGAGAAATGTGCAAATATATGTTGTTTTGAGGAGAGAGTGAATTTTCTGGTATCTGATAATTGGGAGACGCTTGTTTCGAAGCGCGTCCCCAGTAACGAGCAAACTCGCTACGCCGCGCCAATGTAATCAAATTAAAATGTCGGATGCAATTAGCGCGGGCAGAGACATAGCACCTCCCATGAGCGCACGCAAGGGCACGCAGTTGCTACTTCTCACAAATTGACCGAATCGAGTGCAGTGGCCGTTGTTCGAAGTGTGACTGCATTTTCGAGTTCGTTCCCCTCAGGAACGAAGCCTAATGAAGCTGCATGCGCGTCCAATGGAATGTTGCACTGCTACCATTCGATCGATATTTTTCTCGCGATTATAATTTGATTTATATATGCCTCATTATTAAAACTATGAATTTTTTTTTACGGCAAATGCTTTTTACGCAACCCATGCTTATTTTTAATTTAATTTTATGATTTCTGCGTATGTTGCTGACGTTTTCATTTAAATGATAATGTTTTTACGCTAACGCGAACATTTTAGAGAAATTAACGTTACGGTATTAAAGCGCATTTTTACTTGATTATGAATAATAAAAAAGGGGAAATATCGAATTATTAGATAATTTAGTAAAATTTGTACAAAGAAATAGAAATCTGTTTTTCAAGCAAATTAAATTTTTTTATACTGTAAAAAACATGTTATGCTTATAATCGCATGTTTGCATATTACAAATTAAAATATTACGCATGCAAAGTCGTTTATTAAATTTTGCGAGAAGTTAAAATATTTTTAAATACTCTATGTGGAAAATTGTTTCTTCGGGAAAAAAATTATTTTTTAAGCATACGCAAGCTTCCTTTTTTGATTTAATTACAATTTAATTTTTTTTTTAAGCTGTGCTGCGCATGTAGATTGCATGTGTTCTCACCCTCCTTGTTTTGGATTGTTTGTTGCATCTCAGGTCCAGGCGAATGTCCCAGGATGTCACCACTTCGAAATCGACGGAGAACCTCTCAATGTCTTATTACAGGTATGCAAAATACATTCATCATCATTTTATTTCATTTTCTTCGGACTTGGACAGTATGAGCTAATTGTAAGTATCGTAGATAGTTGTAATCCCATTATTGTCGTTGATGTTCAGTAGTTACGGATTCTTTTTACATCTAAAAGAAATATAAATTGTACATAAAAAATACTGAGAATTAAGATGTGTATTTTAATGTTCTTTTTAAAATAATAATAGATAATTGAAAGAAATATTAATTAATAAATAAATAAAAATATTAATGAGTTTTTTGAGAATATTTTTTTTCATCGATGATAGTCTAACAGTAAGAAATCTATCTAACCGTGATTATACTGATATATATGTGTATCTCTTGACATTTTATTAAAGTGTACGTATTTTTGAAAAATAATAATTGGAACGCGTTTTTAAATACTTAATAAATATCAATCGATAAACGGTTTCAGAGGAAACCAAACAATTGAAATATTTCGACGAATTTGACGAATGAGTTATTGTTATGACATAATACAAGTTCATTCACCGACTATTTCGTTCATGTTTGTTTTCTTTTTTTTCCCTTTTTTTCTTTCGCGAGGTGTTACGCTATGTCGTGTTATTCAGGTCTATTCGCAGAAATTTCAGCGGATTTTATCTTTGTCGGCCACGCGTCCGCAGACTACTCGACTTATGGAGGTAATTCGCACGATTCGCATGATTCGTTGCATCGTGAAATTGCGTGAATCGCGTTTTGTTATGGCTCAGCGAAATTGCTTTTACACTTGAGTATTTTACAAATAGTGCCGCGCCAAACTATTAGCGTCTACCTATCTACCTACGTATATGTCCCGCAATATGTTCTGCGAGAATAAATCGCAACGAATGGACTCTCCCAACTTTATTTACGAATGTACTAGAGACTTGATTCCACATTTCAGGCACATAAATTATGAATAGAAATATCTTTTCATTGTATATGATATATTGCATGTATAATATAATACTTTGTGCGTTTGTTTCTATTGCACTAAATTCTTTTACGATTTTTTAAATTATTGTAATTTCTTTAAAGTGTATATATATATATATAGATATATAAACAAATTTTAAAAATTAATATTGTGTTATTTTGTGGAAATAACGAGAAACTAATTATTAAAAAATATTTGGAATAAAGTACCTATATCTCGATTTATCCCCGTTTTATTCTATCTTTTTCGATCTATTTCTGCAAATTTCTCTTTGCTTAATCAAATTTGTTGCACAACAAGCTCAGATTATAAACAAGGGTGAAGTTAATTAACAATCACGTTTACTCTATTACAGGAGCAAAAGCCGTAGCGTGGATCATGGATTTACGGCACCCTTCGATTTGGATTCTTTGCGGAACAAGGTTGAAGGACGCTTCGAATCTGTGGATAAGCTCGCGAAAGGTGAGCATACGTTATTTTTTATTAAATAATTGAAAGAAATAATTCCGTTGGTTTTCTACATAAATCTTATCTGGCTACATATGTTATAATATAAACGTCATTATAATGATGGAATAGTTTTACCAAGGATATTAATTAATCTTCCTGTAAATAAAAGTTGATTAGAATTTTTCTAGAAAAATATACCTAAGCTTGAAAATTCATAACGAATATCTAGATCGTATTTTATCTACCGTATAATTTTTATTACACGGTGGATTTAATATTAAGCAGCTGCGACAGCTTTTTATTATCTTCGAACGATATGTCACCTCATGAAATATATGCCCTTTCCATAATAAATTCAAGTCAATGTGCCGCTCTATCGAAAGGAGATCTTTTAATAAAACGCGATATCCGTCAATGTCACGTATAGAAGATTCGCACGTCCAATGATCCGCGACAGATCCGATGCGGAAGTTCCAGGCAGATTACGAATTGAATAGGCTGACCATGATGGCCACGTGATGTAGACCAGACGAAGGTCTCGGTAATCCGGGCTGTTTCGGGCCGCGTGCAACCTTACTCGGGCGAGTTACATTGACTTACTTTCTCAAAGTGGCACAAGTGCCACGTGTGATCGATCGCCCTATCCCGCGCGTACTTCGAATCGACGCGTTACCAACACCGGCGCGTAACGGAGAACCTAATGAACATTAATTGACGCTCCGGATTAAGGATAAAGTGGTATGGTAATTAATGAAGCAATGTTTCGGCGATAACGGGTACACCGTGATCCGTGAGAAATCGACAAAATTACAAGCCAGCAGCGAAACACAGGTGTGTAGGTAGGTTGTCGTACGTAAATAATTTTTGATCGGGATGAATAATTCAGGAACAATGAATAATTTATTCATTTGTTTAATATAACCGAACAAGATGCGGAATATATATATTACTAATCTTTGAAAGCATTTCTCTAATGATTGTCTATCGAAGTATGTATTTTTTACTGCATTTACCGGTCAACGTTATATTATAATCATTACGTGAGAAAGATATCGTAAAAGAATGCGACTTTGCAATAATTTATCTTTGTAATAGTTTATGTAAGTTTATCATGATAATTAGATTAGAGCCTAATATTAATATTTATTTATGTATATGTGTATCAATTTATGTATATATTTATACATTAATATTTATTTATGTATATATATTTGCGTTGAGGTTTATAATATTAATTTGATTTATTTAGAATATTATATTTATATTTGTGGCAGAAATGAGAGAAATTTGTATGTTTGGAATCACCTCATCGCGCTACGCTCTATTTCTCATATATGAAATTGCCACGAAAATTTAGATTCTGTCTCGATAGCCCCGCAAGCAGTTTATTAAATCCGCTTCAAGCATGCGAATAACCCAGATACCAGTGCGAACATTTAAATCATTCACCGTATATATGCGCACGCGCGGGCGTGGCTTTGATAGGAGCCGAGGGTTCGCCAAGAGGGACAATTGTTTTCAACTATCGCTAGAAATTTATCTCATTACCTGCGCCAGCCGTTTGCGGAATTGCACGTCTGAGAAATAATTCAGTCGACAATCTAGTTTTCCACGCTCAAAGTAATACAATATGCCCGCAACGATATTACGGAATAAATCTCGCGGAGAATAATTCTTATCGTATAAATTTATTATTATTATTATTGAATATTTTATTTGGCGAAATTAAATTAATCTGATTTTAGCAACTTAAGGTAAACCACCAATTATTAACTATTTCGTGTTACATTTAATATTATTAAATTAATATATCATTAACATTTAAATCATTTAATTGTGATAAAGCTTTAATGCTACAATATATACATATTTAATTTTAAAGACGATAGGCAAAAATTGTCCTTTAAGAGAAAATAATTAAGAAAAACTCGAGAATAGCGATATTCTTCTGAACGCGATGCAAGCTGTCAATTATATTGACGTTTTTATTGGAATCGTCTCTGGGAATATGTATGCACATGTGTGCAACTGTTTACATTGTAACGACACTGGTTGCGCATAGGCTGTACAAATATTTATTTGCGATTATGCTGTACACGAATATCAAGTCGGCGAAACAAGCGAGGCTATGAAAAGTTTCTTTTTGGAAATCGTAACTACGAAGAAATAAACCGACGGAAATTTATTCGTATGAACACATTCGCCATGATTAACAAGCACATTCGCCGAATATATAGTGTTAACCTTCATCTAAACGCGTTTAAATATTCCGTTTCGTTTCTTTTTCCTCTAGCTTTCAAACTCAAACAGCAGGATCTGTTTTATGACTAGATGAAATATCGCACGTATCGGATCCGATTATTTTTAGCAGTTTTCAGACATCATTGCGGAGATGACAATAGTTCGATAATATTAACAAATTAATCTAACAACATATTTCTATTTTAATTCGAGAATATAATTTTATATTTAAGGTTTATGAATATAACTCAAATATAATATTTCAAGAAAGTCACCTTGCATACACTACAAAACTATTTGTGTATTATAATATTGTAATATCAATAATAATTTTATATCTAATGACAATATATTAATTATATTAATATAGACTAATATAGTCATGCATGACACTTCATTCATCCTGTAAAAAAATTGTAAGGTTGTTACTACAAATTGTCTCGTAAAGTTATTTTATTGATTATTATTCATTCATGGATGAAGTAAAGTGATGTTAAAATTTAATTTGTTTTTTATTTTCTCATATATTGTCATTAAAGCACAGTAATTTATTTGACGACGACTGACGACTGTATTGAACGGTTTAAAAGCAATTATCTAAACGCTCATTTATAGGACACTAAAATTTTCATGTTTGTTACATAATAACTATATTATAGGTATATTTGCGCGAAAATTTGATTAGTTAACAAAGATAGGATCACTGTCTCTCTGAAGTATTTTATCATAATCTGCATTTAATTATTGATAGACTGTCATTTATGTATTATATTATTAATTCATTGTAATAATAATATCCGTAAATATTGATTCGCAAGAATTGTACAAAGCCGTTTGGCCAATATAATCTGACCTATTCTATCTGTTTGGAATAAATCTCGCAATCAATTACGCGATTTATCGGCGCCGAGAAGCGCGATCGAATAGTCCCGCCAAAAGTGACGTCAACGCGATCCATCATGGCGATCAGCTGCGCGGAATTGTTAGAGTCGCGACCGTGAGTTTATCGTCGTATTCGTAAATTGTGAAGTGTCTGTTGTCGTGTACCGGTCATCATCGGCATCGCTCGGACTCGGACAACTAGTTACATCGCGATCGTTCCTCTCGTACGTCGATCGGCGACACCGGATGGCTTTCCCGAGTACGCGCGCGTTTATTAATCATTCACGTGATCTCGTTTGACCTTTCGCACAGTTTCAGCCGCGGGTATATGACGGTTTGCACGTCCGAAAGTCGTGAGATCATCGTAAGCAACCGATGTCAGAACTTTTATCTCGCCTTCATTATCATTTTCGTGATGAGTGTCACCTGTTGAATTAACTACCGATTCTCTTCGCGCAGTGCCATTTTTATTACATTATCAGTCGTGTAATTTTATTCTTAAGCATTTTATGATTCTATAAATGGGCAATGTGTATAATGATAAATGAGCAATGACGATTGTGCAGTTCTATTTGACCTTCAAAGTTTTGAAGGAATCGTTGAGAGTCCAACGAGTAAACAAGAGATTTTTAAATTATATAGATTTATTATCAAAATTATTAAATTCTCTATTCAGATTAATGGTTTGGTGCAAAAATGTGTCAATTATTTATAAACTACATTTTTTACGTATAATTTTATATTTAAAATATATTTTATAAATTTTATGAAATGATTTTTGCGTTCTATTTTTGCACTCTGAACTCGTTAATTATAAAATATATGAAAATAGTAAAATTGAAAAAAGAGAACAAGAAAAAAATATTTTATCTACATTCAAAATAGATATAGAAATGTAAGAAAGAATACAAATACAGCAATAAATTTTTCGATTTTGATAAATCTGAATCAATTTAAACCAAAAGGTTAAAAATTCCTGAATGAAAATTTCCACTTTCTTTATCGCACACATTTAGTCTATTGAATGAGAAAGTTTTGACACAGTTTTTTTCATCGTAAAACATGCAAGTTTTTTGTATACTGTCGGTGACAAGGTCGACTATGTGCCGATAAGAGAAAGTATTTCTTGTTCGAAACTTTGATTGTCAATCCGTGTAACAGATTCAAGATTTTTACCAAACAATAGCTCAATTTTGTCAAAAACTTAAAAAAAAAATAAAATTAACTTTTAATAAAATTTTCTGTGTTATGCGAATATATCAATTTTGGGAAAAAAATACAGGAATATGTTTTAAAATAAAATAATACACCTGAATAAAACTCGTAAGTAAGTGTTAGGAAATAATTGTTTAAATAAAAGTTGCGAGGTATATAGGGGAAAAGCTGTGGGTATGATATTATTACCCCATCCACTTCATATTTTAGCGTAATATATCCGACAGTTTTTTTAAATGGAACCATCATAATTTTTTATATAAATCGATTTCTGCAATATTCGACGTAAAAAGTTATAAAGACAGAATGATTAAAAAAATTGAATAGTTTACAAAATATTTTATACTTTAATTTGACATAATTTTACATAAAATATGAAATATCTTGTAAACTATTTAATTTTCGGCTATCCTACTCTTATAACTTTTTACTTTCAATATTGCGAGAAATCGATTTATATAAAAAAATTAGAGTGATTCCATTAAAAAAAAATTGAGTTGAATAGATATACACCGAAATATGAAATGGTGGGATAGTGATGACATCACACCTAGCTTGTCCCCTATATATTCCATAACTTTTATTTGAACAATTATTTGCTAACAGCTACTATTTTCGAGTTATTCAGGTGTATTATTTTATTTTCAACATTCCCTGTATATTATATTATATTTTCTTGTATTTAAAATATATAATTATAATATTACATACATATTTAATTTATGAAATAATTAAATTTAAATTTATTTTCTATTTGAATTGTATATTAGTGTATATTAGATAATTGAGTGTAGATAAAATTCGCGAATAAGTCAACAACCTGCCTCTAATCTGCAATTAGATTTTGGTTCCGACAACTGACATTCATCAATTACGAAAACAAAGAATATATATCCACTGATACTGGTTAATCGAGGCATATTAAACGAAGTATTAAGCGCGCTCGCGCAAAGCAGATCGAGTGACAAACAAAAAGTATTTCGGGGATCCTAAAAAGAGACGAAAAATGTTTCGGAGATGTTGATGATGATGGAATTTAACATTCCGGTCATGACAGACTCACAGTGGGAATATACGGACTACGAGCCGAATAACATTCATATTTACGAGAAGGAGTTCCACGACTATGTCGTATATTACGTGGCACAAGAAGATTCACAGCTCTACTTAAGCAGTTTGCAGAACCTTTCAGGTACAGGTATTCGAAAAATGTGAAAAAAGTCTAACGAAAAATACTTTTAAAACGAGTATGGCGCGTATGAGATATTTCACGCGTTATGACTGTGTTTCTTATGTTTGTCCGTACAATAAAATTTTCGTTAACTTTAACTTTTCGAGTTTTTCTATCTCGAAGATAATCTTTCGTATAAATTTTGTCTTATCTTTTAACTTAAAAAGATACAAACTGATTTATTTATATTAGTTAACAAATACGGGAAAAATACTTTAAAGAGAAATACTTGATGAATTATTTGTTATTTGATTAAAACACATATATATTTCATTATGCAATTAATATAAAGATATAATTGAGACATAAAAGAAAAAATATATATGACAGCAGTATATATTTTCTTCCAAAAATCTGATAGAATGAAATAAACGCATTCCTCGTTGAATTCAAATAGCGTTAAATGAAATAATTATTTTCAATTGGAAATTTCCTTTAAGATAAAATATATTGAATTTGTGAAGAATGAAAGCTTTTTAAGAGATATTTATTGAAAAAGTTATTCAGGTTTATGCGCGTATGTCCCATTTCTGTCAACCGCTATAATCAATATTAATTAATTTCACACGTGTGAATTGAAATTATATTTGCGCTGTCTGCGCAGAAGGAAAGAGAGAAAAAGAGTGACAGCGAGAGACGCAATGAAATATGCAAATCTGTAAAAGTGTCAAGTCCATGTGTCGTATCATCAAGCCGGATAAAATAACATTCCGTAGTTATCCCAGAGATTATTACGCAATAGCAGGAATTGAATGCCAGTTGAAATTGAGTAAAGTGTCTGAATCATTTATCGAAGGCCACGGAGAAAAACAAATCTTTCTGATTGCTCTTATGCGATTCTTCGTTACTCTTGTCACGTTTGCTTGTGGAACACAATAGAGAAAACCTATTATTCCCCACGACCGTCGCAGGGAATAATAGGAAACGCGGCCGTTTAATTATGATATGTGAGTAATTTGACATTGGCGTTTTTAATAGCTCTTGTAATTATACTAATTACACGCTCGCGAAGTACCATGTGAAACACGCATTCTATATTTATTTTTAAAAAAATAATTATTTTATTTTTACTAAAATACTTTGCGGTCTGAAGCTACGTATATTTTGCTTCAATAAGAATATAGTTTAACATGTATACATATATAACGAAAATAAAAATGTATTAGACTCATTGCTGATATTATCGATTTTTTTGTGTGCTATTAGAGTATTGTATTTACGGAGTATATAATGGTTACATTAAATCAAGAGAATACGATAAATCCGCTCATTTTTATCTCAATAAAATAAATTTGAAAAGCAATGTAAAACGACAGAAGCGTCATGCTTCGTTATTTTTTTATCGCGCGTATTCTGGTCGCGATGCTCTGATATTGAACTGAGCATTTAAATTGACAATGATTAACCGCGTTTGTCTGGCGTGCAGCAAGTTCACCCGCTGGAATGATTCTTGCATGAACTGACACGTGTTTGCCGTTTCGTTTATCATTGAGTCGCTGCGGTGCACCGGCGCTGACAATAAGTAATGCAATTAGATAGGCGGACCACAAATTAAATTTAATCGATACATCTTATCTTTGTAAATATGTTGAGTAACTCATTATCTCGCGTTTCGCACTTGTTTTTTTTTCCTTCTCTTATGAGCGTATATCGATATCGATGATTGGCTATGACACGCCAAGACTCGAGAAAAATTTATCGTTCTATCTGCCAAGGAAAAATTTGGCTTTTATAATGGCGTATATATATATATATAACTTTATTCATTATATACCTTGTGATTATCGTATTATCATAATATGCCAATAATATCTGATATAGTAATTATTTCAAAATTATCTGAACTTTCTGGGAAAATAAGATAAATATAAACAGGTTATATTTTTTCTTTGATATTTTTAAGCTTAATATAGTGAAATAACTTAAAGTAATCTGAATTTTAAGATTTTTTTAAAACTATCTAGTATTTTTTTATAAAATAAAGTAATTTTTATAAATAAATTTAATTTTAGACGTAAAAGAGGGATAGAGAGACATATTTATGATGGAGGTATCTACGCGACTCAAACTAGTCAAGATAAATGCGCATATTACATCCAGAGATATTTTGTTTATCAACACGCTGTTCAAGGATGTAACGTGATTAAATCTGTCTTTTATGCACAGATTCCGATAACGAGAGCAAAGATGGTTCCACGTCGCAGGAGAAGAAGCACGGTCGCGTCTCGCAGCCCATCAACACCATTGTCTATACGGTAAGTGTGTCTATATATACATATATTCATGTTAAGCGCCATAATTGAGTGCGTATTAAGCTTTGGTACGCAACTATGCACTTGCACCATTTCAACGGGCAATCGAGTGTCGAGACAAGATGATTAGATGCCAAGGAGAGCAAATGTAACCTTTGCTCGAATGAATAAATATCCGTTTTGTTCTTTTAGTATGTGAATATGTAGCTTAACATACTTGTTTCCACGTCATTTCAAAGAAAGATACTCTAAGATTCAGAGCGACTTTCTGATGTATTTTATATTCCAATTACAAAAGTTTATTATATAAAATTATTATTATAAATAATATAAAATAAAGATTAATATAAAAAATCGTTTGAATATTTACGATAAGGTCGATAACCCAAACGTGAATAAAAATACAGTTTTAACATAGAATAACAAGTGTTGCATAATATCATAAATCTTTCGAAGAACATAATCTTCTTTATGTAAGCTAAAATTCCCTCTATCTCTAACACGGTATTTTTTGGGAACCGTTATGTGACTATGAAGGCAATCGTGCATAATTTTCCGAAAACTTTCCTATGTATACGTTGATAAAGATACCGTTTCGTTTGAAGAAATATTTTTTTATGCTAAATATATATAAAAATGACGTAGTGTAGAACTCGTGCTTTTGCGTCTATCGAAACTGTTCCTTTGGAAGAAGCTGTACAAAATGTGAACGGGAGATTGCGGGTTAACCGCACCTATCACTCGCGCGTTACGGTTATCAACCGCAGTTATCAGCGCGCACGCGTGTTTCTCGACACGAGGTACTTCGGTATGAATTCCAATTACTTCGCCGTGCCTGGAGCCAGCTCACTCGCAGACTCTCGTTAGCGGAATAGTTTCTTCCTCGTCGGTCGCGTTCGTGGCGAAAGGTCGCCCCGAGTTCGCAAGGATCGTGGACATCCGCTATACGTTCCCTTGGAACTTCGTAGACGCGGGACGACACGAGATACAACTTGTCCGCATCGCTGGAATTCTAGAGCGACGTATATACATGCGAAGATCGCAGCCCGCACGATTCCCGAGACGACACACGTTTACATGTCGGACACCTTGTGTAGGATAAGTTTATAATGTTGAGTCTCGTTTCTCGAACCTTCCCATCCCTGTAACAGGTCTGATGTTTAGATCTTCGGTTCTTGTTTTATTTATCAAAGCTTTTCTGTAATCAAATAATAGATAAAAACGATAATAATAATTAATCGCGTGGTGCATGAAAAAAATGAAGCATAACACATATATTAACATATATTAATAATATTAACAAGTTCCGATATCCTTCTTTTTATTTTCTTATATTATATTATATTTTTTTTTCTGTTTGTGCGATAATCGTATTATACATTGTGTTCTCTCCACTTTGTTACTATCATGTCGATTGTCGATTTTGCGCAGATATATAAGTCCCCAGGGAAATTTCTCGATCGTACAGCACTCTAGAAAGAAAGCATCTTTCTCTTTCCTTCTACCTTTCTCTCTCTTCTAATCCTAATCCTAATCTTTTTCTAATGCGGCGCTTGTGAAAGGCTCGCTCCAGGGAACCGGAAGTCCGCGCGACATTCATCCGATGAGGAAATGAAGTTGCTGCACAAACTGCACTTCCTGATTCTCTTCGGAGCGAAGCGGAGCTCCGTGAGACCGGTCTAGCTTGTGATGTCATGGTGCATTCCACATTCCATTCTTTTCCAACTTAAATGGAAATTCTGTTTTTCTCCTGATGATGAACGAAATATTATTAGTTATTTAATTTGATCGGAATAAAATTAACTATTATTAACATTTCGAAATAAGTTCTGCAAAAACTTGATTAATTATCATATCTATAACAGTAAATATACACAAATGTTCTGCAAATATACATCTCGTTTAATTTGCTCTCTCTATTGATTCAACTGATGATTATCTCTAAATACAGTCGGTTGTGTTTTATATCGATGAAATTTACCAGTATTTCTCATAATGTTGCATATATTAATATTTTTTGATAATTAACACAAATTAATGTAACAGTAGAAAATTAAAATATTTTAAAACTTAAAAAAAAACGAGTTTATATTAACTTATGAGAACAAATTATATTGAGAATTATTTAAAAATTAATGATTTATATCTTTATAAATACATAATATCAGCGATGCACTTTTCGTGAACCACGTAATGTTAATCTGTTGGTTGGTCATCATTATCCGCCAGTCTTGGCAGCTGTTGGCATTATCCTGTTTGACGGTAGCGAAATCACTAATGTCGTAACGTAATCCCTGTGTCCTGATAATCACGGTGGCTGCAATCCCTGCTCTAATAGAACCCAGCTTATGTCGTCTATTTCGTCTGCCTTGCATCCAGTTGATCGATTAACGTCTGTAATCTGACAATCCCTCTTATCTTCCTCGAGCTAGCGACCTTAATGACGCTCGCGTACATGTTGAACAACAACACTTTCCAAGTTTCCGCTTATCATTTTATCAATTTTCAAGCGAAGTTCTAAAATGCGTGTTTGCCTTCGTATTAATATTACTGCAATTTTGAATTATGATAGGATTAATATAGAGAATTAGTTCTGGAGAAATCTCCTAAAGAGTTTGTAGGTACGCATTTTGTGTGCTTTCGCTTAACTTATCAAAGTAAATTTTCTTACTTAAAAGTTACATGATAGTTTTTAACTGAAACTTCTTAATCAAAATTACCACGCTTAACATAGTATTACTTAGCACAGTAAAGTATGTTGAAACGTGAATGGCAAAAATCTAACAGAATTAATAGAAATATTTTATTTCGGCGTAATTAATATATATGTATATAGCTTGTATGTGATGTATCACGTAGACGAGATTAAATGAAAAGTTTTATAATTACGAAAGATATTAATTTTGATGGCAAAATATTAATTTCAACGTTAAGATTAATTGTTGCATAAAAAGATTACTTTTTGATCATGAATGCAAAAAGGCGCCATCAGAGGCAGACTATTCAGTAATTTTCTAACTGTAAAGATAGGTAAACGAACGAGGGAGATCGAAAAGAGAGAGAAAGAGAGAGAGAGAGAGAGAGAGTTAAAATGAGAGGAGTAGAAAAATAGGGGCACACGAAGATGAGCTTCTCCCGCGCGAGAGACCTTTTGTGGTCTGGCAGTTCTCGTTCAACGAAAACGATGATGAAGATTATAAAGCCGCGGCTAAAAGACGCGGAAGCTGAAACAATAGCTATCTCTCACTCGCCTTCCTGCTCTTCGCGGTTTTAGAAAGCATCCCTCCTCTATCTCATCTCTCTTTTTTCTTTGCCTTTCTCGGCAGTTTCATCATTGCGATTTTCGCTTTTTGCCCGTTTTAATCGATCTCTCGTTTCCTCTTCCCGTCGCCACCCACGCGTCTAATCTCTGCCAGAAGAATGGTCGCTTTTTTTTTTGTTTGGTTGCACTACTATTAATGAGATACGAACTAAAGGAGAGGTCTTGAAAGGCTTTCTCTATCACTCGCCTGATATCGATTTTTCTATACTTATTTAAAATAAAAAATGTCAAAAATAAAATGTTAAGAAACAAAAACATTGCATATTCCGTTTTATTGAAACATTAATTTTTTATTAATCGTTTCTTTATAAGTTATAAATAATCAAGATAAAAATTATAAAAATGAATTGTTATTTTGAATAATCCCAGACAGAGGTTGTTTTAATAAAAGTTAATTTGTTGTTTAATTAATGATTGATTTTTTTTAAATGAAGAAAAGATGTTGAAATTCAGAGACTGAAAATGGAGAATGATAGAGAATGCAAATTTTCCGAGATATTTTTGAGACGTAATAAATATCAAGTCAAGAAAGGGAATAAAAATCACGTTTAAAAATTATTCTCATTTAAGACAATAAAGAAAATAGGACACTGCCACACACGATGGCAATGTATATGAGTTTTCTTAAAACATTGTAGATTTGAAATGCTTTGGAAATAAATAGTTTAATTGTTCGAGCGCGAGTAGCTTAAGCTCCGGGGAACTTCGCTGAAAAATGATAATAGCGAGGCAAGATTTCGGTGTCATGGCATCTAATGGAATTACGAGAGCACTAGGGAAGCGGTAGACAACGCGCAATTGGAGAGAGAGTTGAAGTGTCGCAGAATAATTAACGAATTTCCCGGCGGGACATAAATCGCGTTTTAAGCGTCGGAAACCCTATTTTCCGACGATGTTCGTGGAAAATGGCGAACTTTCCGACCGCGGGTGAGATTAGCGTCCTCTCGCGCGGGGAGAGACGAGCTTTTTAGTTGATTTATGCCGATCCTTTTCCCGGCGCTATTGTTCAAAGAGAAAGCGATCGCGACAAATAGCCCGATTAGTTCGCGCAACAGTATTACATCGCTCGTGTGCAGGTCGTTGCACACGGATTTGCATAAGAGACATACGAGCGAGCGTGACCTCCGCAACCGCGCAACCAAGGCTCTTTTTCCGGGAATTCAATTTTCTATCGTCCGATACTCTCTCGAACGCGTTTCTGTCAGCTTATGTAAATGAGGTTGATAGCCTCATGCGCACTATTGCGGACACATGTGTGCGAAAAAATGCATAGAAGACTCAGATGCATCCAGTAACAGAGATTTTATCAAGTGATTCTCTCACAGCGTCGTCTCGAGTATCTATATATGTATATATTTAAATACATTCCCGCGAATCTACGTGAATGCGTGGTAGAAAAGTGATAAAAGGGGATTTATTTAGAGATCAATGGTTAAATAAACACACGAATTTTTTTTATTCTTTATACATATTATATTTCATTAGAAATACCGTAGGCATTTTCGTTTGGCGTACAATAATAAATATATCTTCTAAATTATTATCACTTGCCATCCATTTTAATTATTATTTCATTAAAAGCATCGAATTAGCTTTGTAAACGCGGTGAAGAAGTGATATTTTTTCGTTGCTTGTGCACGAGAAAAACATATAAAAAAAAAAAAACATTAGACGCGCGAAGAAACTAATTCTTTCGAAGGATCACATTTCCTATTGAGATACTTAATGACATGTTTGCCTTCGTAATTACAGGTGGGCGACAGAGACACGCTTACGTCAGTGGCGGCGCGATTCGATACGACACCGTCCGAGCTGAGCAAATTGAACAGGCTCGGAAGTACTTTCATTTATTCCGGTCAGCAATTATGGGTCCCGACGAAAGGAGAAGGACGCTCGGGAGGCGAATCGACCACCAATGCGCCCAGCCCTGATCCTTGTCACGATCATGAATCCCAGGACGACTTACCACCCGAAGAAAAAGGTGAGCGTCATTTTATTCAGCCCCCCCCCCCCCCCTTGACATCGTTGAAGTATCATAGATTGTTTAGTCAAGCTCTTGAAATCTTTCTGAGTTTATATTTAACGAATAATTACATTTATAAATCTTAATCGTTTTATGTCGCAAATTTTAATTTGCAAGATGTTATAGTTACGGATTTAGGGCTCTGGAGAGGGAGAGAGAGGGATCTTAATTTTTAAACGCCTTTTGAAAATTTTAGAAAGTCTTTTTCCGAGGAAGTAACATAAATCTCTAGAAAAGATATATTATCGTTTAGTGAAAAAAAATAAAATAAAGCAGAACTTTATTTACGAATTATTATATACGTGCAATATATATTTCATAATTATTTACTAATAGAAACAAACTTTTGAAGGGGACAAAGATATGTTAATGATTCTGCACTTACCGTTTAATTAACGCTGGATTTTGCGAAGTAAAACAAGAGATTTGTTGATGACCTCTAAAGTGCCCATTTACATTAGGTACAGGGTTGACATATAGCTGTCCAGCTGTTGAGTTGTCGAAGGACAATACGCTCTTTTTTTCCCGTTTATGACGCAACGCACGAGGGCGTGCAATTAATGGCGATTTTATTCTTTTCCGTTTAGCTTAGCTGTTTCATCGACCCGTCGATATCCGTCCGAGATTCTGTATCCTGTTGCGCATTATGCTAATGCGCAAGACAGATTTAATATACGCGTAGCGACGCGGCATGAATAATGTAGCAGGATCCGGAGAAACAGCTACGCGCGATAGGCGCTAGAGATTGACTCATACGACTAGACACATAGAGAGAAAAGAATTTGGATATCGGTTATATTATCTTTATGTATAAACGAAATCGACCGCTTGAATGAATATTGATGCGTTATCACATCGCGCTACGTGTCTCCGAAAAATCGATACGTAGCGCTATTGTAAGTTAACACGCTTGCCTTTTCACGTTGTTTGCATTATGTCTTTTCCGGGAACGTGGGTCTTTCATACCTTTATTATCGCTGAAAATAAATAGTAGAGACATTCATTACGATATATTCGTGTGAACTAATCAGCTTAATTTAGAGCTTGAAACTGCGCATAATTTGTCAGAATACTGCGCATTATTTTTCGTATTTTAAAGATTATCACACTTTATTTTCAACTGACTTCTGAACAGAGAGAGAAAGAGATAGAGGTAATAGTTTTGTAAGAGAGAGAATCAATTTTTCAGAGAAATTATTTAATGTACATATTAAACTGATAAAAATTTGCATAAAAATAATTGATGTAATAATAAATGATTTAAATAGAATCTTAAGATATAAATTTTTAAAATATGATTTAATATATGAAAAAAACTTTTCAGAGGCGACATAAATAATTGTAATAAACATTTATGTAAAAAAATTTTCTGGTGCCTAATTATTCATAAATGATAGACAATTAATATTTATATTAACTCTTTCTCTCTCTCTCTCTCTCTTTTCTCTATTTAATGCGTATGGCGAATACGATACGAAACTCAATTCTTGACGTTACACAATTTTGCGATTTATTGCTTGGCTGTTGGTCCGTTTAGTGGGAACAATAGACAGAACAAATTGTTGCGCACACTTGCTCCAACTTGAGGTTTATTTATGTCTTCTTCGGGCGGAATCGCGCTTTGTCACCGCTGCTGCATCGCACTAGTTATTACCGCAGCACGAAACATGCACACGCGATCGCAACATTCGTACAATGTATGCACGGGTCGTCATGTTTTGCAACGCCGAGGGGATCGGAGGGAAGAGGACAGTGTCGAGCGCGATCGCGGTCTTACATCGTGGGCTTACATCTTTTGTAATCTGCGACTCGAATGGTCGACACGACGCGCACTACGAAAAACGCAATTACATCATAAAGGTAGTTTAATGTTACATATGCGTGCGCGTTATACAATGCATATTATATATAAGAATTATCGTTATCACGAAATGTATTCTTCCAAAAAGGCTGAATGACTCATTTTACTCAGATTGATAAAATGGCCAAAAAGAATAAGAACGTTTATTTATATATCGTTGAAGCCATGTTTTTAATGTTATTATAAATATTATTTTTTATTAAAAATTTTCTTGTTTAATTTTTTTAGTTTTTATATAAGAATATCTTACATTATCGATTTTGTATATAAACGAAAAAAAAAAATATTTATCGTAACTCGCGGACTTCGAAAATCCGACAAAAATATAGGTCATCTGGTATATAATGCTCAATCAGCTGATCGTCCGCAGCGCAAAGCGCGCGCATACATATGTTTCGCATTGCTCTACGTACGAACATAAGCTATAAGCTAGTATAATTATGTCCGACTGCGATGTCGTGGCGGATGAAACAGATGATGAAATTACTGATTCCGTCGAAATTATACATGCATATGTCTTGCGGCGATTAACGAGTCATATCGGAATTTTCTGGATGTGAGGTTAGGTTGAGCTCTCTCTCTGACGTGTGCAGGCGGGATTTGATTTAAGGAAGCATCATGACATACAAGTCTCTACGAAAACATTGTTAGATAATTGGCATTGTGTCTCTCTTAAAAACCGCAAGGCTTTGGATCTCTCTTCCTCTCTTTTAAAATTGTTATTGTCACATTGCTTGAAAATCAAGATACTGAAATATGCTTGTTATTATAATTCTTTTGTGATTATAAATGACTTATCTGCAACTGTTGCACTATAGATTATCAAAATATCAATGTCACTCTTTTCGTGTATAATAAATATATTAAAATGTATTTTTTTATATGAATTTTATAAAATGCATATTTCTACTTTACACTTATTTTCTGTAATGTTATTTGATTTTGCAGAACTTTTGGACAATCTAAGACCAGTATCACCAAAGCCAGGCCATATGGAACGTGTAAAGACACCTCTCGGAACTTCCAGTGGAACTACAGATGAAGATGAGCAACCATTTAGAGAAAGATTTCTGAAAATCAATGTTAGGCATATCACAGATGGCCAGGTATGCCTTTAGTTTTTAAAAATATCTATCAATTTTATTTGATAGTTTTAATAACTGAATATTTCTATATATATATAATATATTTTTTCAGGGTGTAGTTGGCGGTGTGTTGTTAGTCACGCCAAATGCAGTCATGTTTGATCCTAATGTATCTGATCCTCTTGTTATTGAGCATGGTGCTGAATCTTACGGAGTGATTGCTCCAATGGAGTTTGTAGTTAACGCTGCGATTTATTATGACATTGCGCATATGAGAGTCTCCCATACCGAGTCCGGTCATTTGGACAAAAAACCCGAAATTTATTACATGAAGAAACCCCAAATAGATAATCGTAAATGCCAATCTCCGGGAAAGGATGAGAATTTTCCTGAATTAGCGGGCGATGATAGTGAGAGTGTATGTAGCTGCGCAGAGAGAGATGGCGATGCTTTTCCAAAGGCCTTTGAGAGAGAACTTGTTACTCCCACCAATCTCCAAAGTGTAAGTATTCTTTTGCAATAGTATTGATATTTATTATGTAAGAGGCAAAGTATTAATAAATGAATAAAAGTTTTAATAAATGAATACATTGATTGTTGTAGGAGGAGAATTCAAATTCTACCAAAGATAAAGAGAAGGAGAAAGATAGTAGTGACAAAGAATTTTGCAGTGGCGGTCAAGGTAGTAGAACATTAGAAGAACGCAGACGTTCCATGCTTGACCATCATTGGGCAGTTCCTAGTAAAGATCGAACATTTTCCGTTGATGACGAACAACAAGATTCATTAAATTCTGATAAGGTGCTCATACTTTTAATGTAACAGAATTAATATATAGAATTAGTCAAATATAAGTAATTACAATTATATTGGTAATTACAATAAAATAGATAAAATCAATATAAACAATTATTGCAATAGATGGAACCAGCTAAATCAAATGCCATTCCCGAGGACGAAGAAGGATCTCTAGTCAAATTGTCGTGCCATGATTCTGGTATCGATATCCGTGATCCCAATCCACCTATTCCGGTAGTTCAGCCTATACCATCGAAAAAAGTATACTCAGATGCAGACATTGTCTTATCTTCGGACTGGGTCCCTCCGATAACGATAGCGCCAACGAATGTTACGAGCTCGTTAGAAGCCGGTCCTACTCCTATTAATGGCAGAAAGAAAGCCAGCTCGGTATCTTTTAGTTTGGAGAGTAATGCAGAGGAGCTCGAAAAGGATGAAGAACATAAGGAAGATGATAAACAAGAAACTCGAAGGAACAAGGTATACGTTTAAATTTAACATGTCCATTGTGTGACAACGCAGAATAATATTTTCTATAGATATATTTATTTAATTCGATACTTTTTTAAAGATGTTAAAACGTCTATCATATCCATTGTCCTGGATGGAAGGTTTAACCGGAGAGAAAGAAGATGAAAGTAGCAAATCCATCTCTGATAAGCTATCGAGCCTTCCGAACAGTGCGGATTCCCATCACTCTTCTGTTTTCAGCAAAGTTTTCTCAAGGTGAATAAAATTATATCACATTACATTGATACTTACTAACAAAAAGATCTTGCGTTACTCTTCGGAAATTACTTTAAATATACGTTACTTTTACAACTGCTTCTATCTTTTCACTCTTCTATTTATCTGTGTTACGAATGAGTAATGTTCCTGCAAGGAAGCGCATTTACTAAAAAAAAAAATCTTATCGTCGCGCTAATTTTTATTTTAACTTGCTTTTTGCTAACTTTTAGAATAATATATAGAATACAAATGAGGTTACTCACACATAAGCAGAAAGTTGTACCTTACGTACATTATATGTTATGTTTTTTTGCTATAAATAAAATTAATTTTAAAAGTTTATCTTTATGGCACAAGTAACAATAGCCTCATTTGTTGTACATAGCATATTAGCTTATAGAGAAAGAGTTTCTCACATATGAAAAGCATTACGGGATACAAAACTCGTGGAAGGAATATATATAAGTATGAAGGTACATTAAGAGATAATTAGTTTAGTTTTTCAAAAACTGAAAATTATTGCGTTGTTAATCATGACGAGAGAGAAACTTCAAGATGTTTATGCTTACATTGCTTGCGATACAAATATAGATATTTATTAACGCTTTAATATCATTTCTGATATAACTAACAAAAAATATGTAATGGTGGTGGAAAAAAGCTCGCCGATCAACCTGGTGAGTGACTTTAGCTCCGGCCTGTTTGCTAAAACCCCCAGCGAAGAGAGTGGCGGTAGAGCGGGTGGAACTCCTCCGCTTACCGCCTCTTCTCTCTCTCAGGACTTCAGCAATTTCTCACCTGGTCCAGGAGGCCTTATTGGGTGAGTCTGGACCCGACATGACCTTACATTGTTGTATCCCCTTCTTCCCGCAATCCTTTCTATTTTTATTCGATCTACTTGATCAATTTCGTATCTGTACTTATCTATTCGTGAATGTTTTATTTCTGTAGAATTCTCTCTCAATATTATAAATGTCAAACAAATACTTTGCATTGATTAAAGTTGTTAATATTATAAATATTATAGGAGAAATTATATACATGTATATATGGACAGTTTTCAGCAATTATATAAATTTTACAAATATTCCGAGGATTCTACAGTTAAAATGCTTTTACCCCTCACACACTTTCTTTTTTTTCCATTGTTTCTTGAGTTTCAAGATACTCCGGGATTGAGGGCTCCTGCTTTCAGGTAAATTATACTGTTTGCCAAAGATTCAGCAATAGACACTGCTGTTGCTACTCTCCAGATCGCTTACAGCCAACACATAATCAATTTAACACAGTGTTTAGTACTCTCAAGCAGCCATATAATTTATTATTCTCTATGTATACTGGATACACTTTCTGATTGTTAATTCCCATTGTTATTAATGTGTATTTTATATATATATATATATTACTTCTGAACTACAAGAATGTGTAAATTAAATATATAATAGCGCAATAGGACATTTTTGATAGCTGTCTAACATGTACTTGTCGTTCAAAAGTTTTTGTAATGTTGTTCCATGAGAAGAAATTTTCTTTTCTTTTTTATAACGTCATCTTTTATGAATTTTTTTCAGACGTTCTTCCGTAGGTACCTTTATTAGACAGCAACCTTTAACATCCTCTGGCAGCAGCAGCGTCGACAGCAGTCGAGGTAGTAAAACTTCGACAATGGCGCCACGATTGGATTACCGCAGTATGGTCTCGGTCGAGGATATGCCAGAATTATTTGTGAGTTTCGACAGTAAGTATCGCTATTGCACATATAGAGACATATCCATAATCTATTTCATGTTCTTATTGGAATGGATAGTCTAATTATTGTGAAGACATACTCCAACAGAATTTCCTTTCATACAAAATACACTCATTATTGTTACATTTCCATATATCATTGATATTAGTATCGATTAGTTATATACGATGCAAAGAAATTAATAAATGATAAGGATGATAAACGGGATTAGTAGGTGTATCATGCACTGCACTCGCCCGAAAACGCATAGATAGCTTTTTAAACAGTGTTGTTTTGCCAGTTTATTGCTCCCGTCTCAAGATTTCGAGCGCTTTTGGCTATAAATTATTATAGAATTGTGCAAAAAATGATTTTTCATATTTTCTAAATTCTAAATTTCCTTTTATATCGCCAGATAGATTTGGAATTGATAACCAAATGCGCTTTCCTTGGTGTACGATAAAGTAGTTTATCATTGTTTTAGATTATCACATTGTTTACCATTGTCAATTCTATATGCCACTTCACTGAAATTATAACTAAACTATATATCGCTTTTCTTCGATATATAGGACATTTTATCGTGTATTTATGGACAGAATAATATTAAGTCAAATGGCGCGGTGTTTTATTTTATATGAATTAATTCTCCATTTGATAGTCAACAATCTTAATTTATATATATATATATTTCAATAAACAGCTCTCTCTCTCTCTTTTTCTCTCTTAACGGAAAGTTATAACTCAACAAGCATTTTTTAACATCTTTTTACAAACAGAACATATAAATACATTTCTAGAATTTTGAAACCCTTTGTGCCGCATTGCATGTAGCGAACGCATCTTGTTTGCACTATTTAAATAATAACTTTTTAATTGCAACTTAAAATGCGTGTACTTACATGTTAATCTCTTCTAATAAACTGATAATCGGATAATCGTTTTAAATCAAACTATCTTTGCAAAATGTGATATGCTCGATTATTATGGACGTTAGTAGTAATCATTATATATTTCTCTGCATTAATTGCTCAATTATCTCTTTATCTCTTTCTCTCCAGTAATATTTTATCCATTTCAGATTAGCACAACGGGTTTCATTATTTAGATAGCAATAGGTTCATACTAATGCAGTAATGTCATTTGTTTCTGTTGTCCCTCTAGTCCAAGCACCTAATTTTCCCGAACTCGAAGGCCTGGGTAGGTTCATACAGTATTAGCTTGCTCTTCTCCTCGTGTCACAAATCCCCATTTCTTTATTTGCCTCTTTGTTTTGTCGAATATCCAACATGTTTCTGTCTATTGACGATTTTATTTCCTGTCATGCATTGAACATGATTTGCGCAACTTTACACATAGCGGTTACACTATGTGATAACCGTTATTATATCACTGTAATGGTTATTATTCTATTTCATCACCATTTCTTGCTGCACGTATATTTTATATAAATATAATCGGATTCTTCTACAATATATCTATACAATTGCTATTCATGCATTATGTCTATCATCCTTGTTCTTTTCACAGAATAATTCTTACTCTGACACTGTCTTTTCACCTTGTTTGTGATAATGTGCTTGCCTCGTTTTCCAAGACTTATTCGTATTTTTGACCTATTTGTGTATTTGCGTATGTGATCCTCTCACAATTCGGACTTCTTATCGTAACAAAACTTGTTTATTACGATGAATCGCACATATGTTGTTTAGATTCGCGGACTATATCGAACGTATAAAGATAAATCCGTCAATTATGCAACTCTTATTAATTAATAAATACTTGACCTATATTGATAAACGCTACTCGCATTATACAGAGCTGATCCCACGGCCTGCACGTTCTTGCGAAGATCCACCTTTGTACCTGAGGCTACGAACGGGAAGACCAAAGGATAAGAAAATACCGCGATCGACGCCAATTATGAGCTATGGCAAAAAGAAATTGCGTCCCGAATATTGGTTTAGCGTACCACGTAACAGGTAATCATTTTTCACATTATGATATCTCGATACATCGTCTTAGTTATTGTAATTCGATATGTAAGATACAGAGGAGGGAAGCGAAGAAATGCGAGAGTGTTATTAGTGGAGGAGCCATTCGAGTTTAAAATTCTGATTTTAATCATTTAAAATGTTTATAGCCTCTTACAAATAGTACGTAATAAATTTTACAATCTTAAGAGATGTAAAAAATTAAACAATATCTTAAAATAATATTTGATTGTTTGAATAAATTAATTATTGAAGATTTTTCTGAGATAAGATTCGTTACGTTTGTGCTTAATAGTTATAATTTTACCCTAAAAATTTAAATGTATAAAGATAAATTCTAAAAATCTCTAAAAACTTGGAAAAAGTCAATTCTAAAAATCATGTTATAACACTTTCGACATTATCATGATTTTTCGATGCTTCTCTCGTTCTGACTATTATCAAGGCTGTCATGTGTAAACCAGGAGAACCAGAGTTCTCTTTGGCATTTGTACATTCCTGAAACCTATATTTATATCGAGACTGTTGTTCTTTTTTTATTTTTTAACGACTAACGAGTTGTCGCCGAAAAACGAGTTACAGACGCTGCATTGTTCGCGATAAGTCATGATCACTTGATCGTGCCAGAATAAATATTCGCCGAATGCTGTTTTTTCGGGCAGAAACGCGCCGGTAATTTTCCTTCGAGCGAAAAATCTCGCCGCGTATTATTTTTGTATATATGGTCGACTCACGCATACATCAACGAAAAGCGGCATCCAGAATGCGTTATGACCGGACACATGTTTCACGTCGCAAAATAGCTTTTCGCCTCTGCCGCCGGATTTTCTATTTATACGCTCGTTGACGCTTGATCGAGCTTTACTGAGCTTTGACTGCCAGTGTTTTTCTTGCTTCAAACTTGTTAGACGTGTGTTTAAAAATCATTAGAATATGTATTTTGTGTTAGAAATATAAACTTACAATTAGTAAAATACATATACTACATGAAAAGTAAAGGAATATAATAATTTTTGGACAAATAATACGTAACTTACATTAATTTTTTTTTTTATAATCTCCCTATTTTATACCTTAAAAAAATTAAGTGAATATGTCATAGCTTTAATTTGGAAAAAAAATATGTCTCTCTCGTTTATATAGTCTGAAAGTTGTTGTTTAATTAAGATAGTGATCCCCAGTTCTAAGAATTTCGAATCACAGTCATCTATATATATATCATGATATCATGGTAAATCTCGTTGACAGCCATTTCGAAATGCCACTTATTTACAAATATCAATCGCTTCCCAGTATTGCGGTTGTATTGAGTTGTAAATAATTAAGATCGTTCTTGATTGAGCACTCAGCTGGATTAAGATCTATCGAGAGCGATCTCGTTTCCACATGCCAATTTACATTCTCGGTAATCACGTTTTTATATCTTATTTTCATCAGATAAATTATAAAGTTGCCAAAAATAATAATCTTATTAACACCTACAAGTGTTTCGAGAATAAAATCGACACGTTGATATCGGCTAATGTGATAGACTAAATGGAAATCTCTCAAGCTGTTTTGTTTAATATCCAATTTTATATAAACCGACGCTGATGTACCTCTTTCTATATATCATATTACACGTTTTAAAGAAAATTATTTTTAATATGTTTTATTAACTTATTAAACTAGTAATTGTAAAATAACTGATTGCCGTTGTATGAGAGAGAGAGAGAGAAAGATTATCGTTTTTGAAGTTTTATTAATTTTTTCCACTAAAAGAATAACAAAAATATTTTTAAACAGAATTAACAAGTTTCATATTAAGTATATTTTTTGTATTTTTATATATGTATTTATTATAGTTATTAATATAAAAACATGTTTATTTGTCTACTAATTTTTTAATTTTTTTACAATGTTGTTGTGCTATCTTTGTTAATCAAAATATCTTTCTCATATCTCTTTTGTACATAGAATGTGAGGAAATCTTAAAATGAAGATAAGAGTTTTATAAATAAAAAATTTAACAGTATGTGATAAAAATCAAATAAAAAAATATTGAAGTAAGAAAGCAGATTATCGAGATTAAGGTTTTACATATGGTGAATATATTTACTACAAAATACTATTACATGCCATATACGTTCGACATTTTGATTCGCGTAATAAATCGTTTATAATAATGACGTTTAATAATAAATTTTAACAGAATGTTAAAATTTATTATTAAACGTTTTGTATCAAACTATTTTAGTAACTGACATAATCAGAGACTAACTCTTCGTATCGATTCAAAACCAGATTAAAGAGAGATTTTTTTTTTATGTACGACGAAGTAATGAAAATAGAATTTGTTTTTATCGCATTTTTGTTTTGAAAACTTTTACAAAAAAAAAAACTTTCGAACGGTAAAGACTGAAACATGCTCAGTCAGCGCGATATGTGCGAGTGTGATACAGTGATATATGTTCTGCGTTCCGCAGCGCGTATATACGAAACAAGAGTGCAGGTGTACCAAGCGAATCAGCACGTGACATGTATAACGAGTCTCGACATTCGTGACGTACCTGGTAGTCTTGTTCCGTGTTTTTTGCACGTTCTCCGGCGTATTCCTACGTATTCGCATACATCACGGGTGTCGCGTGTATTCTGTCAAAACGAGAGGAAAAGATTTTCTTATAAATGTCTAACACACGGTCTCGTGTGCGGAGTTAAACAAAAAAAAAAAAAAAAAAATCGGATGACAGCAGGGATCTTTGAAAAAAATTGTCAGGAGGTTAGAATCGGTCTCTGATAAGCTGATAACGACTGCTACTCCGACATTTTACGCGAATTGCGGATAATTCTCGCGTTCCGTTGTGCGATCAGCTGGCCGTGTTGTTCGGAGCCGCTGACGCGCATCGTCTGTCGCGTCCTCGAGAAATTATATCTCTCTCGTGTCGCGCGTTATCGTTCCTTTCGCCTTTAACGGTAGTTTACCGTGCGGTTGCATGGCTATGAATTGGATGAACGCGGTCGTGATGAATACGTTCAACGGTATGATGGATTTTATTTACAACCGACACGTGAGAAGAGCGATGACGAACGTGATGCCCATCGTGCATCGCAGGTAACGCTCCGCGTTTGACAAGTTTACGCTTGATGTCGAAGGACGCTAATTTGCGTAGCATAAACGGCAGTTTCCTTTTTTTTTGATAACACGATTGATATATTCTCTTTGTCTTTTTTTACAGAGTGGACGATCTGTATAGGTTTATTCACGCGTGGGTGCCGAATCTCTACGGCGAACTGGATGAGAATTACTGGCGGGAACGCGGCTACATTCTGTCCGACACCGACACGGACCTGTCGCCGGAATTGTCGCCCCACGAGAGCGGCGAGGGCGCGGATTCTACGGAGGAGAGTAAAGCTCGCGACGGACAAGGCGATGACATCACCGAGTTGACAAGGGAGTCCTGGGAGGTGAGTACCTTGTACTCTTTGTATCTTGGCTGTCCCAATAAGCGAATTGTATGCGATATTGATGGGTTGGAAGAGCGACGGAAATTATTCATAAAAAGATTTTCTTTTTATGATTCTTTTAGATAACATTTAGGTAGACTTTGTTATAAACATCTAATTTAAATGAAGATTAAAAACTCTGGACTTTGGTCTGTGATAAAAATGAATATATAATAGATTTTTGATTGTAATTATCTTTTCGAACTTTGATACGGTTTATAAGACAACTATTATTATATAATTTACTGCTTAAAAAATTTCTATATTAATTAGAAATTAGAATTTACATCTCTCACGTTAACGAAAATATATAAAGTGAAAAATTTTTGAGTTACCGCAAATATTTTGTCGGCTTTTATCTAAAATTTTTACAGAAAAATTGATTTTAAACTTAATATAAAATATATAATACGTATGATCTTAATTTTTGCAATATTATATAATTTTTATTGAAGAAAGAAAAATTATATGACTTCTGATGTTTTCTTTGAATTGCAATGGTCTGCATTTTTACAATTCTTGCAACACCATTCGTATTTATTTTTTTGATAACCCGATCCTCGTGTCGACTGGCTATCAAATATCGTGCTGAGATACGCCAAACATTTCGCGGAATTTATCGTTGATAACATCAAAGTCCGCTTGATTTGGCTCTCGATATTGGTTACGACTGTCGTCGCGTTGAAATGCGCTGTTTCTACCGATTTTCGACGCGAGGATCGTGAGGTTCTTAAAACCTCGACCTCGACGATGTCGCGACCGAGAACATCTGCTAAAGACGGCCGATTGTTGATTGGCCGACAGTTGATCAAGGCCCCCTACGTAAAGCTGTACAGCATCCTGAAGACTTCGAGCACATCGGCCGATTCCGAGCAGATCCAGGATTCGGAGGTATCGATTAATCCCTACCTCCTGCCCGGTGATCGATATCTATCATAGGCACCATAATTGCTCGATGTTGAACAATGCACCTTTTAGATAACATTGCCGCACCTTAGACCCTTGTTAAAACTCTCGGATGCACCTGACACGATGTTGCGACCGTGTCTACTATTTTGTGTTTTTTCTTTTTCCCTTTTTTTTTTAACCGCTTTACCCGCTTCGATGATTCGTATATCAGTGCATTCGACCACGACTTATATTACATACATTAACTATCACGAGAAAATAGTTTGTAGAGAATTCCTTAAAACCTCTTTATTCACATTCTCCATAATGTATGGACATTGATAAACAGATAATATGAGAGAAACTTTCTCCTCATTAATAACGATTAACTCTTTGCAGTTGAACCTTATTTGAAATAGATTTATCTTACGGTTCTAAATAAATCGCACATCACTGTCGAAAATAGATTGCATGCATCTGTCTCTCTTCGGCGTAGAATATATTTGACTGGAAAACCTAGATGAATGTGCAGCATGCACTCATTCGATACTCTCTAACTCGCGCATGCACATAATATTTTTATCGTATCGCATTGTTATTACCGTTTCTCTTTCCTTCTCTCTCTGTTTCTCTTACCGTATGTTCCAGTATTTCCTTTTACGACTTCTCGTGGGCTCCTATCATGACTTGATTAAATACTTGCAGAACGCACTTTCCATATTCAGCCCGATTCTCACGACGGGGAACAATTTCATGCAAATCGATATCGCGTTGAAGACGATGAGAATTATCGATTTCAAGGCGAAATGCTAATTGTGATAGAGAACAGCATCGCATTATTGATGTATGCGTCTGGACTTGAGGCGGAAAACTTTGTTAGCATAAATGTAGAAGTGGAAAGTGCGTTTTTATTCTCTTAAAAAAGATATATCCGGATAATAAAACTTGATTTCTGTTTATTATTAAAAGATCATTAATATTAATGCTTACAGAACGATATATGATAAATATTGCAAACTTGCGTACGCAAAAGAATGAAGTTTGGACATACGAATGCCGCGTATGCCTTGCGAAATATAACAATGTGTATATTATAGATCAACTTGTGTCGCAGGAATCATACTCTATGAACTGCTCCGGCGCTTGCATAATGGTGCGATGCATTATTGATGAGAATTGACACAGTCGGTGTAAATTGACACAGATGTATCAGATACAATATTTCTTGGGAGAATATTTCCGCGCACTCGTTGTTTATGACATACAGAACATACGCTTTTTTTTCTTCGTTTTAAGAGGAGATGGCAAAATTAATCGCATCTGGACATATTACGCATGATGAGAAACTGAGAAAATGTCATATCTTTTTTATTTTTTACATATTGTCGTATTTTGCGAAAAAGATAAATAGAAGAAATTAATAAATGCTTAAATTTCGATAGAAAAAATAAAGTAAATAATTACATTTCCTCCTACATTCATAAATATCTCAGGATAAAAGCAATTTATTCTGAGATATTTATACCAAAAAAAACTATGACGTATACTGATCATAATCACATATCGATTTCAGATAACAAAAATTGATTTCCTAAGATTTATTGTAAAAGTATAAAGGCACAAAAATAAATAATAGAAATTGCGTCACCATGCGATATTGGCATAAAAATAATTTTTAAATGCAGCAAAAAATACAAATATATTAGAAATAATTCAAAGAATCGATAAAAATATAAAAAATGAATGCAAAAAGTTAATGAATATCTTCGAAGTCGTTCAACATTTTTTGGAAAATGAAAAAAAAATCACGTTATTATTGATATAACAAAAGCGAATAATCCAGGCGTATTCACAATTAGAGAAATATTCTGCCTTCAAATTCTTTGCGATCTCATCGTTTAAAAATAAAATACTAGATGCCAAACGTGCATGCTCTCTTTTATTTTTAGATGCTCACGCGATGTTCATCATTTAAAGCACGGCATAATTCACCATTAAAAATTCGTCTCAACTCAAATTTCGTTTAACCATTGTTATACACAAAATACACACAGTATATTCCGTACAAAACTTTCCACACTCGCAAAAATACACGCCTGAAAAAGTCATTAATTTTGTACATCGAATAATTCAAGATGAATAGTTATACGCTTTCAAAATTAAAGGAAAAAATTGGAAGAAATTTTACAACCGATCAAAAAAATAAAAAAAAAGAATTATGAATAATCTAGGTACACGGTTTAACATAGAATAAGTATAATAACATTTCAAATAAAAAGAGATAGCGAATTTCTTGATTTTTATTGATAAGGAGGATCAATCCCATTTAACATTTTGAATGTTTTTTTTTTTTTTTTTTTTTTTTTTTTTTTTTTTAAGTGGATGTTTTATGGCATAGAAGATATTTTCCAAAGTGAAATTTTTCTTTATTAGACAGACCGTTTAAGAAATTTATGATCACGAAAGATTTAAAACAGGCTGCTAGAGCACGTGCTGCGCAATCGAGAATGCGCAGTCGTCCGAAAAGCCTCTGCCCAAGAATATGCGTCGCTCTTTTTCTTCTCCCCCCCCCCCCCCCCCCCCCTCTCGCTCTTCGTCGCTTATATGAATGTATTAGATTTACATCGAAAGCTCCAGTCTTGCTGTAGTCCTCGCAAAGTAAAGCTCGTATTATCGAATGAGTCGTACAAAAAAGATACATAAATAATATCGGTTGACATCACGGTGCGCGGTAACTACGTTAAATGATTTAACGCATTTTTGATTAATTTATTGATTAATAAAAATTGATCAAGAAGTTAAAGAGTTAGTAAAAACGAATGCTTACAGTGGTAATTTTTCAAAGAATATTGTAATTACATATACAAAGGTGAAAATATATTTTTTCTTTTTGTAACTTGCTTGTGCGTGCCGGACTTTACGCTTCTTTGGAAGAGTTTCCGACAGTTTGAGAAATTTATAATTCATGTGTTGAAATATAATGTAGACAAATTTCACGGTTTTCCATTTGTGAACGAAAAATAGGAACAGCGAGAAAAAGTGCATCGACCCGATTTTTAGTGCTCATCGAAGATAACAGAGATGCCTAGGTCAAAAATGCCGAATCCGATCTCCAAGATCATCAAGAGATTCTTGAAAAAGCAAACGAAGGTAAAGGTCAGAGTTGAGATGATCATACGCGCTTTTTAATCGCGCTCACTTTTGTACGCGGAGCGAATGTGTCCGATTATGGAATTGTCAGGAATGCAGTTTAGAGTTACGTAATATGTAAACATGTTTCTCTCTGAAAGCCCGGTCGTATCGGAATATCGGATTTACATTGACCCGTACCAGGCGTTATAAAATCACAATTTAAGATCTAAATTGTTAGCGCGAAAGTTTCTCTCTCTCCTAAATCGAGATTTTACAGCAAGCTTATTCTCGAATGAAAATTATTATTATTCTGCGGTAATAATAATAATTCGGTTCAAATATATCGAAGAGTATGCAATATATTATAAAAATAACAATTATATATTGTGTATATATATTCATATATATATATATATATATATATGATTGTTATTTTTATAATATATTGCGTACTCTGCGATATATTTGAACCGAATCGTTGTTGCCAAAAAGAAAGATATATAGAATAAAATGTGTCAAGGTAAATAAATGCTTGTTCATGATATTTTTTTTGCCCGCATAATACGCCATAAATGATTTCAACAATTCGCGAATACATATTTGCGTACATCCATTTATCTATCTATTTCACATAATTTATACACTAATAGTTCGAAAAGAGCAACTATTTATATAAGGTGTGTATTTACAACCGGTCTTTAATTGAGTCTGTATAAGCTCACTTTCACTGAACTAAAGAGACCGTTACTGCAAATCGTGCCGGAATCAGCTTCTATTTAAGCTTCGAAATGTGACAAATCAGTAATATTTATTATTGACTATAATTTGCATTTTAAGAAGGAACTGGACGGATCAACTACATTGAAAGTTAATAATAAATATAATACATTTCGAGATATTCATGAATTTAACATTGCGCACACACAAAGCACTTTTAGACTTTTAAAATATAAAATTAATAATTAATTTGTGAATTAAAGTAAAGATTTCCCCTATGAAATATAATTTAATCTCAAAATCGTAAATATTATCTTATATCAAACTAACTTTTTTATAGTGACTGTACCACGAAAATTTTATAATGGCTATTTGATATCTCCAGTTCTTCTTTAAATAGGTAGATGGAATTTAGAGACAGAAAATTTTTCGAACGAAAAAAAAGGAGAAATGTACAAAAGCAGAAAATTTAGAAAATTTTCTAAATTCTTTTCTTTTCTAAATTCTTCTCGTTCTTTCGTGAAATCAGTTCTTCACAATAGGATATATCTTCACAATAGGATATATTTTTATAATAAGAAATCAATTCTTCACAATACGTCATTCAAACAGATTCGAAAAATTTGAGAGAGAGAGAAAGAAAATGGGTGCTTGACAAAACATTTGTAATTTATGGTAGAAAAAGATTTAGGTGCAGTAAATAAATTTAAAATGTGAAAGTGAGAGAAAAGGAGAAAGAAAGAGAAAGACCGATATAATTGTTAAAATTGATGTTAAGAAAAAAATTTAATTATAAAATTTGATAGATAGTAATTATTTAAATATGCAGAGATTTTTTTATTCTATAAAACAACAAATAGGATGAATCATTCTTTAGTTTTAAATTATATTTTTTTCAACTTTTTAGACAGACGGGAATATAAAGAATAAATTTGGAGAAAGTATAGGCTATTTGGGAGGGAAAGTCGAAAAATAGAGGGATATTTGGGAAAAGAGAAAATGAAAATTCTTATAAATATAAGAAATATTTATTCATTTTTTTCTACATCAGTCTCCATCAGTATCTATGCACTTAATCCGATGTTTAACAAGTTTATAAATTTTATTTTGAAAAAGAAATTCGATTTATTACAAAGCTGTCTCAACACTCTCCT